TTTATTGCACATTCAGATAGACCTGCTAGTTGGCAATGTTGAAACATAGCGGCTTCGTATTCTATATTTATAACGTACTCATAAGGAACTTCAAATAAGGTACCATATGACCCCCATTCCGCCCAGCCGCCATCTTGAAAATTTCAACTGTTATTTTTACGTTAAAATAAAGTATTCATCTACTAATTTCACCATCCCAAATTTCAGCCTGCTAACTTGTTCCTTTCAGACAAGAAGTAGGGGGCGGGGCTTTCTAAAATGGTTGGAAACTAAATACGGCTCATCGCAATCATACTGCATTGTAGCTAGGCGTCTGGTGCGTGTGGTGATATGGTCTTCGGCAGGGGATACATTTTATGTAGGGCTGTCGCGCTGGTATCGTCTTAAACTAAAGCAGATATCAGCGCATGAACTTAACAATGCTCAAACACCTTCTAAACTTATATATCAACCCCGTGTCTACATCTCAACATAACAACTAGCTGCACATCAAGTGCAGCTGATAGGACAAAGGTATGCACGCAGGCTCGTGTTCCTTTGAAACCAGTGCTGCATACCGTCAGTGTATCACGATGAATAGCGTTGCGAAATTATATAGTTGAGGAGACACCGCGCACAAAGGGCTTTCTCCCTTCTCTGTGATTTACATCGGACGCAGCAACATATCCACATACCTTAACGCACAAAATACGCTCGCCTTGGGTGGCGGAATATATATCTACGTTTGTAATGCTACACTAATAGCCTCGGGGTTATATTCATATAGTGTATGAGATATAACTAAGTAAACTAATGTTATATGATTTCTTTAGTAAGGTTAGTAGATTAACTCTGTACTTTCCAGGCATTGATATATGTACTTTCACAAACAGAACACCAATGACAAATTTACGTGCCAAATGGTAAAAACCTACTTTTTTGTTGCTGGTTTAGCATGCTTTTTTTTGTACAATTTTGGGGCTCTTTAGGATTTGGCTCTCTGGGGAAATATGTTACTTCTCGCCCTTCAAAACGTTTTGAAGGCAGGTACGCTTTCGCACAAAGTTATATCTTGCCGATGGATGGCTCTCCCTCTTCCCCTGAGATAAATTCTTGCGGGCGCACATGATCGAAACTATGTGTACACCTGGCGTGGATAACAATCGACGGTCTATACCCAGTCGAGCAGCAGAGGCCGACTGCTAGACACATTCATCGGCAGGACCATAAAGCATAATCGACTCGCGAGGGGTAGAAAAATTTCTTCATCATTAAAGATAATTGAAGGGGGGAAATCTATGATGAGAGAAATACCTTATAATAGGTGTGTAGAATTACCGCGGCTGGAGGCGTATAAGACTGCCAACTTCAAAAATTGAGATATTCTCTCCGCCACCCCCTACAACTCCCCACCCCCCGAATTTTTTATTCCTAAACATTTTTTCGAAAATGATCAGGATCCCTTGAAACTTCAAAAAACAATGTTTGACTGATTTTTATTTTTTCACCTTTTTTTGCTCTGTCACAGGATCGTTTTTTCAAAAACTATGATGCTAGTTTGTCCTTGGTATAGTAGTAACATTTTGTGAAAATTTCATTAAGATCAGATCGGTACCTTCAAAGGTATAGCGGGGTTAATGATTAGCAGACAGAGAGCCAGACAGACCGACGGAAACGAGTGACATGGTTTTTCGTGATGTACATCATATAACACCAGAAAAATCTAATAGCTCAATTTCGGAATTTTTCGTGATTACATTATTTCCTCGCCAGTAGCGTAGGAAGAGAAAGGATTAGATGATCTCTGAAAATATGTTTATTCTTGAATATAGTCTCTTTCAAGCTCCATAATTTTTTCCAGCTATTTTCTATTTTCCTTTATCTTCCTTTACCTTTCCCAGAGTGATTATCGAGACACTCTTCATAGTACTTGTCTACGGCTGTAAGGATGTTTTCACTTAGACTTTTTAGAGCAAGAAGATGAATGAAAGTTAAAAGGTTAATAGGCTGATTTTTGTAAAAGATCGATCGCTTCTCTGTGCAGGTGCATTCCCGCCATGAAGTCTTCTGTAAGCCTGAGTTTTTATACCGAATCTACAGCCAGATTGTCGAAAAGTTTATATAGTAGTAGTAGTAATACTTTGTTATAGTTTTGTCTGCAGCTAAATTATCAACAATACGTCACTTACATCCCAAAAAATGGAGGTTACAATCGTTACAAGTGTAGTGTAGTTTGATGTCGTTTAGAGTCAGACGGGTAAACCTATACTCATCGATAATTATCATCGACGCACACAATAATTCTTTGTAGACTGATCAAGTTGTCGAATGAATTTTTGATTCAAAGTTAATGAATGGGACACTTACCTTGCTAATAGTTTCGTAGACTCTAATTCACTCTTTAAAATATGAAACATAAGTTCATTAGAGATGTCCACAACCTCGGCAATTTCCTACCTACTCGCTGGTAGCAGTAGTTCCTGCGACCACAACGAGCAGCACTTCCTTATACATCTCTCATATCACAAGTTCTGTCTTAGTTGAACCGAAGCCGCCTACTTCACACCGTAAAAAGGAATCTATTGTTTAGATCACTTTCAATCTATGCATGTGTCAAACAAAGGTGTTGATTATGATAAAAAACAGAGAAGTGGAAAAAACCGAGTATGGCCCTGCGTCTATTTTTACGTTTCATCTAGGTATCTAGGTAACTTTGTTAACGGGCAAAATTAAATCGGTTCAATAGTCACTGAGATATGTGCTGTTAAACGTTTGGCGTTACGTTATACCTAGGTAACTTTGTGACATGGGAGCGTCCAGTAGTCTATGCAAATATGTTTCCTACATCCAACGCCTTCTGTTGGTTGGTTAAAGAGCTTTACAAGTTGTCTGGTTGTCGCAGAGCCATGATGCTCATTGAGCGCATAAAAAAAAAATGTGATAAGAATAGTGTAAATCTCTTGATGTAGAATTATGTCACGATATCGACGTAAGGTTCAATGAATTTTGGCATTCTCAATCGATGTATTATGTAATATGGCGACAACAGAGACAAAGCGTGAGAACCATAGTCGAAATAGAAACACTCTATAGAAGCACATAACAATATTTTCATAACTTTAGCCGTAGTCAACACCACGAAGATTACACTGGCTACTGGAATAAAAACTTTAATACCAGTAGTCACATAAGTACGTCAAGCTAGTGTAAGGGCATCAGTACGTCTGTCAGGAAGCAGCGTTTTAAGGCGTTACTTTAGGTACTGATTCTTCATTTGGCTTGATTTAATTTAATAAGTTTGTTTCATAGTAGTATGCTAAGTCTTTATACAGGGTGACTTTGAAGTTGAGTCATTAATTTTCAGATAATGATTGTAGAAGGAAGATAAACCAGAATATGTGTGTAAAAATAAAAAAAAAATTAAAAAAAAATGTTTACCTTGTTTTATAAAGTATCCTCCCGACAAGTGTTTCAGTGCGGACCTGTATTTGATCGTGAGGTCCCCTGTGAGGTCTTAAGTCACCTGATTCACAAGCCCGTTATACTACATTAACAAAGGCACGAGGGGTTGGTTGCACTCGATTGGGAAACCGATCCGCATAAACATGTGCCATTTTTTATTTCGTTTGAGCCACGCAACAGACACTATTCACACGCTAACCGACAGACACTGACTGTATGTATAACTGAACTGAATAAAATACTTAATTGCAAAAACATCGTTCCAAATTCTTTCGCTTTTTTGTTTCCGATGCGATGAACCGGTAAGGCGGATTATATCCGTTGTTGCCAAACACGAGTACATGATATTATTATTGAGACAGGGCGGTACTCAAACTTCCAAAGGGCTATAACTTTGTTACTTTAATTTTACCAGAAAAATGGTAAAGGAAAAAAACATTTCTTTTGATCAGATCTACTCACTGTTAAAATAAATGACTCAACTTCGAAGTCACCCTGTATAATTCGCTTTCATTTATCGAAACAGATCAGAGGATAGATCTGCCAACAGACCTATTCAGCACAGTAGGTATAGATTTATTGACCATTAACATTTGAACCTTCGATTTTCATTTTGATCAAGTTTAGCTGTTGTACCTCCAATAACAATACGTGGATTGTAAAACTGAAATTAATAAACACGTTAGAAAATAAATGTGAAACAAAGTCGAATAATTAAGTTAGAATAGTGGAATAGCGTAGAAGCTTTTGATTCTACTTTCCTTACTGAAAGCCCTTTTTTACGTTCTCTCGGGTTACAATCATTATCTATCACCTTTTGCATTCTTTAATTAGGAAGAAATAAATTACTGCTGACTGGAAGATTGCGGTTAATCGTGATGATTTATCTGGTAGCACAGAAGGGGTAATGAAAAATACGCTTTTCACTTAAGTTTTGGTGCAGGACTTTACAGTATCATGCTAGTTTTCCACTATCCTCAAGTTCCAGCAAACTCATAAAATAGGCATGCACTTGCAAGACACATTTTTAAAACCACATTTCAAAAATGCGTTGTTACGTACCCGCCAGAAACTTAGTGTTCCGTAATTGTTACTAAATTATTCAAGACACTTCAATGAAGACCCAGAATCATAAATTGGAGCGAACTCGCGAAGAATTTCTAACAACCACGGATACAGTTCCGGGTAAAGTTACCACAAACTCTCACTTATTATGCATATATGCATTATACGAGAGAATTTAGGTGCTTTGTAGATGTTATAGGATCGATGCTGAGAGCTTTCTGGCATTGAATGACAACACATAGTCGAACGTATCATTAGAGGTGCTGGAGAGATTGATGAAAGCCGGTTACAGCACCTGACAATAATGAGTTGTAGCATGGTCGTGGTATACGCGATAGGCCTAACAGGCGATTGGAGGTACCTTACCAATTCGGTTTGCTTCACGTGAACGCCGCCGGATGGGGCATGGGTCCGCTTGAGAGAACAGAGAAAGAATGGCGTGGGTAGGTTTGAAGTTGCTTTTAACATTCGATGCTGAAAGTTGGTCGGCAGCTGGTGCTGTAGACTAATGGATTAGGTGGGCTCCACGGATGGAGCAGACACGGGTTCGAATCCCGCTGGCACCCATTTTTACTTTCAAGTTTTTGTTTGCTAAGCATTTAAGAAATTGTTTACGATTATTCTGCTTTATTTACAATAGGCGTGGCTAAGGAATTATCTATATAATATTGTACTGATATTAGAAAATTACGTACTTGCTTTGCGACTGTCTTGCTGTTTTATCGATGAGAGAATGCATCCTGAGGGAGTGTTGACCTTCTGTGACTATTGTAATGGAATATCTGATGGATCATATCACTGTTATCCCAACTATCCTTTTATGCTCCTAGACTTAGTTCTCGACAGTATCAGCTATTATTTTGTATGCGGGCAAAGTCCGCAAAGTTGGGGTTTTCCTTTTCAGAAACAACTACCCTTGAAATAACAAAGGTAATGTGTAGTGAAACGAGGGCGACTAAGTAAAAAAAAATAAAGGAAAAAGTACTCACTCTCCAGTTGACGAGAAGTAAGTACGTCTCTGCCCGAAATCATACCGCTCCAACAGAAAATGAAATCAGCTGATGCGCTACCGAGCAGACGTAGGCAAACAAGGAAGGCAAAACGTTGCGTAAAAAGTCTAGGTCTAGGTTCACCATGCCAGCCCAAACATTCACCGAAAATGTTTGTTGAAAATGTGCCCGACGGACAGCGTGCGGATTTTCTACTGACCAAACATGAGTGTTGCGAAAGTTATTCACCCCATTACGCGTGAACGTAGATTCGTCTGTCACCAATATGCACTTCAAAAAGTCCGGATTATTGTCATGTTGATGCAACAATCATTCACAAAACCGCACTCTTGCTGGAAAATCTTCAGGTTGAAGGGCTTGTACATGTTGGACGTGAAACGGATATAGCCCCTCTTCACGCAGCGTTTGCCACACTTTAGTTTTTGATACTTGCACTTCTCTAGCCACGTCTCTAGTGCTTGTTGAGGGATTCACGTTTACGCGATTATCTCTACACGCGTGACCGTAACCGTCGGTTGAAGGTTGCATACTGACCTGACACACTGACCCCGACCCAGTTCTGTCGTCGGGTTGAGCTAGTGTCCTAGAGCCACTGGGGGATGTCGCGGCTACAGGACGGTATTCAGATATTTTTGATGTTGCAGAGCCTTTTAGCTCGGTTCCCTTAAGACATTGGTGTATATGGTACTAAGAAAAATTGCTTATGTTTTCAAGATCTACACGTCGTGTAAAGGAAAACCCCAACTTTGCAGACACCCTGTATAAACTTGGTATAAAAGTCACCAGTTAAAGAAATGCACTTAACCTTTAATAAAATTTGTAATTTGTGTGATACACATATGTTATTTAATTGTACTTTTAGAAATCTTATAAGTATCTTTAGCGAGTTATGTCTTTAGTAAATTATACATGATAATATTACCTTCTAAATGGATGATTTATGTTGGGTAATAAATACTATTAGGTATTATTATTATTATTGTGACGGCTGCTGATGAAGCCCTGAACATCCTCTCAGGACGTCTTATAAGGAGCCTAAGCTTGGTCTAACATGACGATACCACCCAATGGGTCTCTGCGATGGGACCACAATGTGTGTATATCACATAAACAAGAGACTGTATGACGTCCACCTTTTCTGTATCTTTTATAGTCTCATAATATCCACCGGTAATTATACCGTTAGCAATGTGCTGGTGCATTCATTATGTCGAATGTAAAAGTGTACATGAGAAACACGTTATAGGATCCACTCCAATGTCCATTTTCACCTTATCTTACATTGTGTCCTGCAGACAATGTGATAAGGTGGAAAAAACCTAATTCCACCCTGATCACATTGTGTCATCCGTAATCCGGATGCCGGATCAATACCGGCAGAGGCGGCATTTTCTGTGAAAATTACCCGGTTTAAAGCCGGCTGGGAGTACCTTTATTATGATTTATAAATCTCACCACCAAATGTTCCTCCTACATTTTACATTACCAACCTCGAATTGAACTTTATGAGCATTGGAAAGCGGCACGTAAATATCAGTTCTCCAATTGTATGTCTTCTATATGGAAATTCCTGTTTTTATGGTTATTTGCTGAAGAAGGATGTTCAGAGTTTGAGGGGTGTGCTTAATGTGGGGGCCAGAAGAATGTGGTGCATGCTATTCAAGCTCTGTTAGTTTTTTACAACTATGTTATTTTCCTTGAGACTGAAAGTTTGTTCTTGATAAACTGTCCCAGAAATCTGTCGACAGTCGATTCTAAGAATTATACAGTACTTAAGAGCACTGCTAATTATTATTTTTCATCAGTGAAGAGAAGATGAGAGTTTCATCAAAGGGTTGAGGTTAACTGGTATACCCTCCAACATTAATGGCCTAACTTGCTGCATGCTAAAAAGTTACACCACTTAGCAGTTGACAGCACTGTACAGTGTACATGTAGGTGTTCTAAGTGTCAAACTAATCTCTTGGTGAGTTGGAAAGAAGAAGAGTGATACATACTTCCTGTCAGCGGAAAGACTTGGAGGTTATTAGGTTACGACTGTTCCTCCTCCGGTTGTAATGTACGTACATGATACATCGAGTGCTATAAAAATCACTTAATTAAGTGGGTAAATGATGGACCAAAATTTTGAGATTTGCTGATGTGCTTCAGGGGTGACCTGTGAGTGAAACTGCGAAAACTCCACCAAAATCTATAAAGAGTTGCGTAAGTTGCAACTGCATCTTTTTTCACTATAAAGCTTTAATACAAATATTGTGGGTCCGAATCCCCAGCACTAGCGTCGCCGTATATTAGAAGGAGGTGACAATTCAGTCGAACACCGAAAACAGGGAACTGCTGTTAGTTGCTAAAGAAATGCCAGGAGGAATGCTATAACTGCTTCACTGAATCTATCGATAATTTTATGACAATGACTGCGAATGATAAATTCTAATAAGGAACTGAAAGAACATTTTCTGTAGATAAATAAAAATATCCTTGAGGCGGTGGCCGGTGGTGCGGCCGAGAAGAAAGCTTCTCCAGCTAAGACAAAGAAAAGTGGCAAATCGGCGACGTCGGCTAAAGCTTCTTCTGCTGCACCTTCTGCAGCGCCTGCAAAAAAATCTCCTTCGAAGGCGAAGAAATCCAGCAAGGGAGCTCCGACCAAGAAGCCAAAAGCACCAAAACCGAAAACGGCGAAGGCTGCAACATCGCCAAAAAGGAAAGCCGCTTCTCCCAAAAAGAAGAAATAAAAAAAAATTTAGACGTGTTGCAACGTCGTAGATTACGACTACGTCGGTTCGCGACGTTATATTTATGCGAGAGGATGCTATACGTCCCCGAGAGAACGAGATCTGCGATAAGGCATTGGACGAACTCTACAACTTCTGGGTGAACAGCAACTGCTACAGCACGGGTTACCACAAAGTGGCTGGCTACAGCTGGTATTTTTCTTATGATTTCGGTTATGGTAATTTGCTACTTCTCTTGGCATAGGACAACATTTTCTTGTGTCATCGCCAATTGGTATGTAACAGCAAGAGCGAACAGGTCTCATACAGTTGACCTTGTTGCTAGGCAGAAAACAGTAAATATCGTACTTCTTACAGGAATCTCTTGGCTGACACGCTCGACAGCAGCTGTCTTCCTTACAGCTCAAGCTTAGCGATGAGCAGGCTACTCTTATATATATATGGAACTCCATAGTTTTCAAACCAAGCAAAGTATTTTAGCAGCATCAAAGGCTCTAGAGTATTCATAAATAATGATTTCACCCAAGAGGGATACAATAAAAGGAAAATCCTTCATGCACATTTGAAAAAAGCAAGATCGTCTAATGATTCTGCTTATATCGGAAAACAACGTATTGTATTTGAATGACGACGCTTATGCCGCAGATGCACTGGAATTCTTCTAGAAGCATTAATTGATGAAAATGCAGAAAATAAACAAATAAACCAGGAGGCAATAAATAACAGAGACTCTGAAAAAGGCTATGTTAAAAACATCAGGCATCGTCATCTAAAACAAATGTCAAAAAGGCTACCACATCAAAAACAGTCTTTCTACAGTGATCAAAGGTCCAAAACTGAGAAGTAAATCCGCACAAAATTGATGGATACATATATAATATATAACTATAAAAAATACGAAAACCATAAGTGAGTGCAGTAGTGGATTATACATAGATACAGAGCGTAAATATTTTTCTGTATTTCACCTCACCTCAATATTCTAAGCATAAACACAAAGTTTGATAAACTCAAGTTGATGTTACATGCATTTTGATTGTTTAGTTTTATCAGAATGTTGGAAAATAGATGATATTTCTTTCGATTATATCGATGATTTTCAGATATAATCGTAATGAGGGTGTGATAGTGTATCTTAGGAACCGGATAGATCTACTAGAGGAAAATACCGACTCTCTTAACAACACTAGGATTTAAGTCATTCATTTGATTGTTAACAAATATAATAAACGTATATTAATAACAGCACTCTATATACCACCTTCAACGGATGAATTATTATTTACAGAAGATTTAGAAATATACCTGAAAAATCCCAATAATAAATCTGACATACATATTTTAAAGGCGATGTAAACATAAACACTACCGAAATAACGGAAAAATCTGAGAACTCTTTGAATATCTTATCAGTATACGAGTTTCTGTCAGTCACAAGGGTAGATTCAAACTCCAGAACTTGTGTAGATCATATTTCTATTAAAAGAATTTTATTGATGACCGCTGCATGACACCTATTATATTGCAAAATTGCAATACCGATCACTACACCATAATGCTTAACATAACATTCCCTGAAAAAACAACATATTTTAGTGATACAATACATCATATACAAAAGTCGACGAAAGAAAGTTGATGACGCTTCTAGAAGCGCAAAATGCAAACATGTATAGATAACACAGTACATTTAACATCGAAATCAAAAGATGTGAATGGTTTAGTTAATTCCATCAACAAAATGTTAAAACATTTCCGTTCAATGCTGAATAAACCGTCTAAAGAAAATATCACAAAATTTTAGAATTATGTATACAACTATGTTCACTCTACTACTACTACTATATATACGAGCCTCTTCCCACTTCAGTTGGCCCAACTATTGAAATCTTAGTTTTTTTCTTATCAAACACAAATATTAAAAATGTAGCAGGGTGTTATAGGTTTGAAATATTAACAATGAATATTTTGATAATATATAGTAGAAAATACAAACTTTATCACTCCCTAATCAAATTTTCAGCATAAAAATAACACATGTTGCAATTACAGCATATCAATCTATTTTCATTTCAATGCAAAATAAGTCTATAACGTATAGGTAGCTGTGAAAAATAAAAGCCATGACAATTGGTTTTATTAATCACAGCTGTCAGAATACGTTTAAAATATTTTTGGGTAGTTAAGGTTTTCAAAATGGGTAGAGGAAAGGTTATTAGTGAGGAAATTCGGTTACTGATAATTAAATTTTTTAATTCTGGGAAATCAAACTCAGAAATTGCAACTTTGTTAGACTTATCGCGGTACAGTGTGAGAAATATTGTTAGAAGATATAACGTAACTGGTTCAGTTAATATTAAGCCACGATATGTGAAAAAAAGTAATATCACAAATGCCGACCGAAGAGCATTAAGAAGAATAATCGTGAAAAACAGGTGTGCCAATTATTTACAATTAAGTGCTCTGTGGAGTGACGCTGTTGGAAGGAGAATTTCGAGGTCCACAACTCATAGAAATGCCCACAAACTGGGATTTAGCACTTGCAAGGTAAGTTTTGTGATAAAAAAAGTGAAGTAAAAACCCTAAAGTTGCACAACTTGTTTACGGGCGAAAGAAAAGCCACTATTAACTCACTGCAAAAGAAAAATCGGCTTAGATGGGCTAAAAAACATAGACAATGGGCACCTCAACAATGGTGTGCAATACAATGGTGTGATGAGGTCCGATTCGAAGTTTGTGTTGGTGACAGTCGCAGTAGACTTATTTGCAAAAAAATGAAGCATTCTATGTTGACTGTCTGAAGAGAAAAGTTAAATTTCCAGCATCCATTATGGTCTGGATCAGTATGTCATCAAATGGAAATGTGGATACAAACAAATATTTGGCAATTTTAGAAGAATCGCTTTTACCAGTGATGGAAGAATGTTCGACATCCGGCAAGATTTTGTGCAGCGTGCCATACCTCAAAAAAGGCTATGAACTGGATGGGTTTCTAGCAGTCCAGATCTGTCACCTATTGAAACTTTGTGGCACGAGATGAAAAAGGTTCTACGACAACATCATGCTCGTACAATCTCCGAACTGAGACAAAAGCTTCAAGAAATATGGGATTGTTTTACACCAAATTTTTGCCAAAACTTGTTTAACACTATGCCTCAAAGAATTTCAGCCGTAATAAAAAATGAAGGTGACGTTACCCAATGGTAATCTTTCAATTGTTTATTTGTTCAGATGTTCTATTAGTTATAGGTCTAAGTGATTTCAAATATATGTTTTTTACGACTAGAGTGTATCCAAAATGTTTTTGAGAAAATAAATTGTTTTAGAAGTAAATAGTTTCGTCATGTTTAGTTTATAAAGGCATATTTTGGTACAAATCTTGAAGTAGGCCAACTGAAGTGGGAAGGGGCTCGTATATACTTCCGCTCAAAAGTTTTGGAACAGAAAATTTTGTGAGGGAAATCAAACCAAATCAAACCATAGAGTATGTTTAATCAAAAAAATAAAAAAGAAACTATTTTTCACTGAAACTTAATTAGTTGGTAACTTATTGCTATCAAGATTTACTTTAAACTCGTGATTCATCGAAATGTCCACCACGAGCTCGAAAAACTGCATCACAGACACGACTCATCCGACGTATTAAATTTTCAAGAATATTTAGTGATAAGGATACCCACGCTTCCTGCAGATTAGCCCACAAGTCTGCAGCACTAGTAGACTCTTGTTGCTTCACCTGCCTGTCCAATTCATCACACAAATACTCGATTGGTGACAAATCTGGAGACTGGAAAGGCCACGTCAAGATTTTCAGTTCACCAAGTTTTTGCTGCTGGTCCAAATAATTGCGGCATAGTCGAGATGAATGCTTAGGGTCGTTGTCTTGCTAAAATTCGAAATTGTTCTCAACAATCCTTTGTCCTGAGGGAAGAGCATGGTTTTTCAATATTTCCAAATACTGCTCTTTTCGCTTTCAGTGTTGATATTTGTGCAACGGAGTTCAGTATTGAGTCATTATGACTATCACAAGCTAGGTCCATGTTGCTATCCCAAGCAACCGAGTTCAATGTTACATTATCCCAAATTATTTCGTTCAACCTTGGTGTGGAGCTGACTGTCCCAAGCCAGGTCCACGCTTAATCGGCGGTCAGAGGGGAGGAAGGTAGGGGGAAGGGGCGCGGTGCCGCTTTCCTTCCCTGCGTGCGCGCTTTGAAATCATAGGGGCTGGGTACTACTACGAAGGTACTACGATATGTATTCTAAATATTTACTTCGACGAGGACGGAACATAATTATTTCTTCGACGATGTGCTACAAGTAAGTACTTTGTGTTAAAACAGTAATCTACCACCATATATAATTTAATAAGTATAAATAAGTATGGTTCAGATAAATAAATATTGCCTGTATATATAATTTCAATTCCGTGCGGTGCAGCAGAACGTATTAATTTTTAAGGGCTTAATTTTTACGAAAAAAAAAAGACTTTCAAATACAGTTTGTCATCCTGTATCATGAAAGCAAAATATTTTCGAACCCACGTGTATATGAGCTTCTTTTTTCAAAGTTACCCAAGAAATCACCCGTTGAACTTTCGCAAGGAACTTCCTTACACCCCCTTAAACCAATTAAAAAATCCCGCTATTTTAACAACCTAACATGCTATCTATTGTTTGTTTTGGCACTTTATTCTGCACAAATATTTTGTGTCATTTGTCTACAATTTTCTGTAGCGCATTAGTTCAGAACTTAACATATTGTCAAGCGCAACAGACGGCTTCTGCCTTGAAGACATAGTGCCAATTAGCACTTACAGGTTTTCTTGACTATAGTTGATCTATAGTCTATGTTATTATCTAACTCACTATTTTTTTACTACGGCACGTGTATTTCAAGGACTTGCTTGAGATTACACAAAAATAGGCTAAATAATTCCATTAAGGGAGCAAGCTCATTTTCCGGATTACATTGGGCGTATCCTGAGTTCATATACTGTTTAACGTAAGGCCGAATATGTTAATCAATTATTCATAGTAGATAATGTCAGAGTGGCAGGTGCATATCTGATGTGTGACGACCCAATTTTGTGACAAGCGGATGCTTTATGTGACGCATACGTTCCAGGGTAATTCACGAGTACAGACCACCTACTTCTCTTAATTAACGGGTTGTATTACGGTTCAATAATGTCAGCTTAATGTGATTCCCGATGTTCATTATACAATTGTGTGAATGTGTACTTACAATACGAATACATATTAATTGGCACTTGAGGTATCTATAGTAGTTCAGTGTAACATTTTTCTTATATAATATGTAATGTTACTACTTTACACAGAAGATTGATTTCTAAAAGAGTCGGTATTAGGAAATTATGAAATTCGATATCACAACTTTAGCATATTTTCGAAGTAAAAATTCAAACTCCAAAAACCGACCTACCATAAAATCTCTTTGAGAGTGTGAATTTCTTCTTAGATATACATTTTATTTATCTTTTAAAAACACTTTAGGTAATTTGTATCTCGTCAATGGTGTAGTTTCAGGTTCATTGAAACGCTGTGTTGTCTTTCAGTTCACTTTTTACCCAAACATGATCGTATTACAATTACTTCTTTTATCGTTTTGTATATAAAATTGATTATTGATGTTCTCCTCACATTCTTCAAAATATGCCTCTAGGAAAAGTCTGAGAGAATTTAAGACGTTCCAAAGGTATTATCTGTAATATAGGATAGCAAAGTCCCTGGCGACCTCCCTTATATCTTAAATATAGGTAGATACCCTTTGGCCACGTTATATGAAATCGATATAGGGGCTGTTTCGAAGGTTATCCCAGGATATAATATGGAACACGTTGATGAGCATATACTGCTTTCCAAACGATCACACTCATTTTTGGGCAAGTCTTTCTTTCTGTCACATCTTCTCAGAGATATACTCTACAGACTATCTCGGCATTCTGCAACCAACAAAGCATGCTGGCGAACTCACTTGCAGCATGGCCATTGAGCGTGTTGTTGAGCCATTCCTCCATAGCTAACGATTAGCTAACGATTTTGTCGGTTTTTTGACGTTATTTGACATTATATAATATATTATAGTAATTTTTAGTGTTCAAATAGTTAATTTCACGCTTGCTCGCTATGATCGCTGTTCGTTGATGTTTAAGCAACTCACACAGCTACAAAATGAGTTCACAAGTGTACAACAGCTTGTGCTAAGTTAACATCTTGGAAAAATCTACGCAATCTCAAAAACAAAACTGACGAAATGCCTCTTTTCAAGATACAATACCCGTGCCGATGATGTCCTCTAAAGGAGTACAAATCTGGGGAATCCCGGACTGATGGGAGCCCTTCATACAAAGAGACTAAAGTTAAAAAGATGTATTGGGTGTTTCAAATTCGACCCTCATCATTGGGTTCTCGAAAACGGTAAGAGATACGAAGTTGTGTATTTATGTAATCGACAAAATGCCGCATAGAAAGTTTCTAAATTCAAGGTACTCCCGGAGAGAGATGGAGAAAACCGAATTTTCCCAAAATCGTTTTTTCCAGACCTTAATTGTAGTGGGATTTCAAAATAAATTGCACATCGACATTGCCACTTGTTCTCTTGTACAAGATGGCATAATTTGAATTTCAATATGCGTGTCGAGTCAATTATTTTCTAATAGTGTGCAATATATTTTGGAAAAATAAATGTGAGGAACATGGAACACTAATACAACTATGTTACTACATTAAGCTTGTTATAAATATAGCTGATTCTAAATATCTTCTAACAATTCTGGTCTTCTCCCTCGGTTTGGCGGTTTGCTTCTAGATGGCCCTGTTTTAATTGTAAAATGTGCTAAAACACATACTTTCAAATCAGTATACTCGTAAGGCTGGGTTCGCAATGTATTTAGGTAGGGAAAATTTTCAAATTGACAACTCTCTTTTGATATTAGTCTAAATCCTGTAATCTTTCGCATATGGTCCTAAAAGACAATATATATATATATATATATATATATATATATATATATATATATGTGAAAGTTCGCTTTTCGTAAAGTTCTAAATCACGCTTTTCGCGAAAAGCACCCGCGAAAGGGGTGATTTAATTCTCTATGAAAACAGAAGTTAATCGTGAAACCTGTAAGTTATCCCCTAGCTGATCAGCCTTTGAAGCCGTATGTGGGAAGTTACACGATTTAGTTTAGTATAAAAAAATGTATGTATAAGAAAAAATTCAAAATTAACTAACCAAATACTTTGCAAACCCCACGAATTTCAAAGCCGTCATATCCTATTAAGAGTTATCTCCTGCTCATTGAAAGGGAATGCTGTGCAAATAAAGGAAACCGAAAAGGAAGAGAGTGGCAAAACACATCGCGGCATCCTTTTGTATATAGCGAGATACCCATGCGTTCTCATGGACATGCGGTGTATTGCGCTACTCTCTTCCTTTTCCTTTTTCAACCTATCAATTTTTCGATAGAACAACTTTTGCATTGACTATGAAATGTAGTTACACCGTAGGTAAGCTATTAGAATCCATTACAGCGTGAAACTCTAAAGACGTCGCCTTTGCTTCACATTCCACCTGACTCAGCCTCGTTACCCTCGCGCCAGTTGCAACTCTGCGGAGCTTAAAAGTCGTAAAATTCAGCTGCTCCACATCTCGCGGGCACTATCGTTATCGCCTGTATAGCTCGAATGCACCTCCGCACAATATAATCCCAATCTAGTTGCACGATTGCAACTACCGTCAACTTCGACTATAAACCCTTTGCAGTCTGTTATATTTTGTTCACTGGGATGTAAAAGCTTTGATAGCATTTACTGCCAAAGTATAAAGTTTCTATTACGTGGTTCACGGTGTATAGTTAAGTGAACCACTAAATAGCTTTATTTTACTGCTGTTTTCGTTTGCTGCGTAGAATTTGTTTTTTGAAAACCATTCAAATATACAGAACATGGAGTAAAAATTCAGTGGGTGACTATTTGGGCCAGTAATGGCAGAGGACTGCTAAATGCAACCCTCCATTTGTTAATCTAAGGGTTATCTATGAAGTAAAGAAATATTTCACGGTTTAAAGAAACAATTTCATAATGAAAAAATATAAATATAAGGAATACGATGAAAATATGGTACAATCCGTACCTTTACTTTATCTGGGCTGCAAAAATATACTCAATTATGTTAACTATATAAAAGTGTTTGATTTCGAGGTATCGAATCGTCACCTGTTTACATAACTTGAGTGATCTTTAAAGATGAATATGGCCAGAAGGTTGGTCTTCGCTGGTCCTTAAATACGGCACTTTGTGCTGCACCTTTTGCATCGCTGTGGATACTTCTTTGTGATATGGCGACAAGTAGGTTGACTGCACTTCAGACGCATGAAGGCATCAGTTCATAATGGATTATGTTTGGGACAAGTTAACCCCTCTGAGAAAAACAGTCACCTAGAAGCACGTATAACAAAACAATTAAATGGATGAAGTCAGTTAAACAGGCCCGTACAATTAATCCATTTGATAAAGCCACGGTCTGAAAATGTCTTTCCTGCCCTATCGGCAGAATCGGTCATCTGGCAACGTGGCTGAACCACGCCTGTCAGCCATGAGCCAACGCCAGCGGTGAGCAGTCAGACGTGAGATTACCACACAGGGTTCAAGAGTAAATGTACGGGGAAACTATGTGTGAAATATGTACCAATAAGTGCCTAGAATTACTGACCCTGACCTCCCGATTTTCGCCCCTCAAAAATTCTTTAAAATAAACAATAGTCTCTGAGACGTCAAAAAAAAAGCTTAATCCCTTTTTATTTTTCTTTTAATTTCTCTTCTTGCTTGCTTTTTCGCATCTGGCATGTTAATAACCTTGTGTGAA